GATATCCAGGTTAATAAAACAAAATAAAATAAAACTAAAAATTTATACAAAAAGAAAGAAATTTTGAACTGTTATTTTGATATTAATATCGATATATTATTTTCAAAATTTTATTTTATTTAAATATAAAAATATTATTGTTTTCTCAAAATCATACTAAAACCGTATTTTAAAATCGATAGAGACAAATAATAAAACAAAACATTAAAATTGACATGTATCTCGCTGCATTGCGTGAGTACGTCTTTAGTATATGTAAAATACAAATATAGTTTCCCGTTTGCATAACGAAAAAACATTTTGATAAAAATGCAACCAACAAACTAAAAACTAAAATTCCGATTCATTAATAAGCTTACATCAATCTTTAGACTGGATAAGAATGAGCGGACAAAAATGCATTTATTATTCCATTAAAACAGGTGGAACAATCAAAGAGTCACTGGTCCCGTAAAGACCAACCTCCTAACAAGTCCATGGTTCAATTTCAAACATGAGGAATGTGAATAGATATTGTCGTATATACATATTATAAACTTAACAATCAGGTGAAATAAAAATTGGTTTTTGTGAACGAATTAGGAAGTTGAGAAGCGGGATAAACGTGTGCGGAGGTTATGGAATATGAGTCATTTTACTCGTATTCTTTGAACGAAATCGTTGCGTATGCAGGCTCAGGAGAAAGAAGGTGTGTAAACGTCATTTTACCATGAGAAATGTCACGTCATCTGAAATAATTTCTACACATATACTTCGAAATAACGGCTAAAATTAAACCCTCTAGGTCGTTTACATCGGAAGACTTTAAAATAATAAATATGTAACTTACATGCTAATCCGTCCCATACCAGATTGCATTATGGATTTATCTATCATATATGTCTGAATACAAATGTTGAACTTAAATGGACTAGGCAAGTCCCTATGTGTAATGTGTGCCCTTTTTCTTTGCTCAGCCTGAAACCTGTTGTTCATAAGATGTATATTATAGTCAACTTATAAAGCTCATCGAGTTAATGTGTTTACGCGAATAAAAATTATTTCACATTATACATATCAACTTGTGAACTCTGTACCACCTAGTATGCATTTTGAAAAACATGCAACACTCAAAGAAAAGAGATCTCAAATGGTTGATGATGAAAATGAAATTATGAGTAGATAAAAAATAACATATTCAAAGTTTGAATAATATTTTAATGTACCAAAGTATCAACCCGACCAACTCGTACGGTTTTGGGTTGGGTTACACTTTCGTTTGGGTTGGGTTAAGATTTTGCAAACCGTAAGTATTGGATTGAGTTGTTCAAGTGTCTTCAACCCAATCAACCCAACCCATGAGCACCCCTAGTTGGTGTGTTGAACAATTATAAAACTAAAAAAGAAAGAAGAATCATTGATACAAAAATATATGAAACTTATAAAAATGATATCAATGGTGCAAAATCAAGATTAAATCTCTTGAATCTCAACTCATTACTTTTTATTCAATTTTCAAAGAATTCATGTTCGACTTTTTATGTATGGGAATGAAAGTAAGTATTTACCCATTTAGAGTTTTAGTTGCTAAGTTTCGTTTTTATGTTTATTTAATTCTTAGGTGTCGAGATAATCATCATTTATCCCCCAAATTATATATTAAAAAACCTCTACACCTTGAAAAATAATGCGTTACAATGAAGCCAAGCCTTCGTCTTTGGTGGACACGAATTTTAAATAGTCAATATTTTAAATATAATTTAAAAAACTACAATATTAAAATAAGAATTTAAATATATTCTAAAAAATATTAATTTTTTTTGAAGTAAAACGATATTAATTTTTATAGCATTTTTAATGTAATTACAAATAAAATATAATTTCAATACATTATTTTACATATAAATGGATTAAAAATGCATACAGAATCGATATTAAACAAGGTGACAAAACTCCCGCGTTATCCCCTCCCCCTCCCGCAAACTAACAACTACAAAACCCTACACAGAAAATCCCCCAATCGAATCGAATCGTTACGAACCCTAATCAAATAAGCTTGTTCAATACCTTAATCCAAAACGGAGACATGGTGCGAGCCAATCAATCAGATTCAGAAACCGAAGAAACCGGCTCCGATTTGACCCCACAGAGAAATGGGACTGGGGGTTCAGAAAATATGACAGATTACGAGAAACAGAGGATGAAAAGGATCGAAGAGAACAAAGCCAGAATGAAAGCAATGGGTTTAGATAAAATGGCGTCTTCGTTGATGGGTTCAGTTCCGATTTCGCAGAACGCCAAGAAAAAGGGAAAAAAGAAGGTGGGTTTGGAAGATGATGAGGAGTATAAGCCATCTGGTAAGGATGAGGAATTGAGTTCTTCAAGCGGATCAGACGGTGACGACTACGATGATGAATTTCGCGTATCTCGAACGAAGGTAAAATTTGACATTTGATGCAAAACCCTCCAATTTTTCACTTCAAAATTGATGAATTTTTTGTTACTACATTGGATTTTATATCATAGTAATGAAGACAAATATGTTGTTAAATTTGTAAGGAAATCCATGTCTGTTTTGCATCTAAGAAATACCTAGGTTTGACCTAACAATCTGAAGTGTAACCACGTGAACGAAGCATGAACAAGAAGACTTCATACTGCTCTAAGATTCTATACTATTTCTGTGCTTCTGTACAGAGAGGCGAGCTTAGGAATTTTTTCAATATGTATGTTTTTCACAAAATCATGATAGATTGTTTGTTGGTTTCTTGCTTCTTGTATGTGTGGTCCTGTTTAAGTTTATTTATGGCAATTTTCCTTTTAGAAACATAATAAATCTGACATTTAAAAGCTAAAATTTAAGAAAATGACAAAAATCATTCAGACCTGCACATGGGATGGGAGAAAAGACATGCAAACCAACTCTAACAAGGGAAGCTTGTGTTACCATTGTAATTTCAAAATATATACGGTTGCACACAACAAATTGATAAAGGTGACACCTTTCATGACCCTAATTTTTTTTACACTATGACGGAGGAACGAAGCTGTGACCCATGCCACTTTATCCACTAGCGTGGGTCTGTCCATGCTTCTGTAGGACCTTGTATTTTATGGAATCCTTATGATACCTGTGATAGTCTTTGAGGGTTATCTAGGAGAATATACTTGTCACATATAATACATGGCCTCACGACAGATCCTCTGTTTAACACACGAAGGCTTTAAAATCTGTCAAAATGTCATGCATTTAAAAAACATGTGCAAAGGTTATTATCCTAAATAACCTTTTTTTTAGACAGTGCAGTAGGACTTGGAAGTTTGTTGTATCATTATTCCGTGGTGTGAAGCTCCCTACAAAGAGGAGGAGACCACCTCATTTGCAACCATTCCCAATATCAAGTGTATCCAAGAAGGGAGAAAAAGATTAAAATGCTATGGTGTTCATTGCAATTTATTTGAGTGTTCCTTCAAGGTTTCCTTGGTGAAATCGGGCATAGTTCATTGTCTCCAAGGCCTCATGGAACTTGGGAAGAATTAGTTCATATGAGTGGAAATCAAACAATTGTTCATATGAATCTGATTGATGATGTCCATATTCTTGATTTTGCAGATGGAGGGAAAGATCGATATTATCTTCCCTATGCCAATGATGATGATGCACCACTTGTTTCATGTGTAGGAAGTCTTTCTCAGGCATAAAGTTCCTATATGATCATATGAGGCATTACCCCATTCCTCATTGGCGTGATATTCTGTGGCCGGAATGTTAAAAATCCACCGTCATTGTTTGACAGACATTCCGAGCTCGTCTACTTGCTGATATGTCGGAATCAGAGAATTTGAAGGTTAATAATCATGAAACCAGTAGTAGGTTAAAAATGCAACGGGATTTATGATCATTAACCTTCACACTATCTGATTTCGACCTATTAGAAGTAGACGAGCTCGGAAGAAGAGTACAACAAACAATGACGGTAGATTTGTAGGATATCGCGCCAGTGAGGATCGGGTCGTGCCTGTTATGATCATAGAGGGACTTACTTTTGAAAGACATCCTACACATGAAACAAGCGGGTGTGACATCATCATTGGCACAGGGAAGATAATATCGATCTTTCCCTCCATCTACAAAATCAAGAATATGGACCATCAATCATATGAACTGAAGGGACCCAAAGAGTGGAAACGAGAATTGGAGGGAAATGGAGGAAAGGTGTAGCTAAACATTTCCAAAATAAGATATCCCTTTTGAACTAACAAAGTTTTCATATTGTTGCTCTTTTTCTAATTTGCCAACCTTTATCATATTGAGTTGTTGATTTTGGAAACATTGTCGTTGATCTTTTTGTTGCAAACAAATCCTCTTTTTCTTGTGAAAATGCAAAAAAGAACATTACACTTTGCAACAATGTGCAACTTCGGACATAATCAATAAAGTACAATGGTATTCTATGCATGAACATTTCTGTTGTACGTCTAAAAGTGCCTTTTTCTTGCGAAGTATAATGTATTTTCGCATTTTCACAAACGATGGTTAGTTTGCAACAAAAAGAAAAGCATAATAGTTCATAAAGTCATATCAACCTTATTCTATTGCTTGCTATTTTGAAACTTAACATATCTACTTCCAGCCGAAAGTGAAAAACTCAACACCTAGCAGGAAAATTCCAAAGCTTTCTGGCAACTCAGATTTTGTAGATGATGATGATGACGCTTTAATGAAGGTAACTTTCTATCAATTCCATGAATTTTTGTAGTTATTTGATCTAAAAATTTTCAACCCTATGGATGCAGGCCATTGCTCTTTCCTTACAAGATTCGCCGGGCTTTTTGGATGTAGCGAGCAAAACGCCTCCTCAAAACTCTGATGCAAATGCATCAATTGTTGAAAATATCGATAGAAAGCAGATTATATCGAAGGATGATTCTGGAAAAAGAAAGAGGAAAAACTCGGTACTTGTTTTGGCTTAGATCCAATATTTTCTTTCCTGTCACTCTAAAGTCTCATGAAAATTGCAACATTTGATTTTACATATTTGAAATATCGCACAATAAAGATAAATAGAGGAATCTCGTTGATCGAATTTGTGCCTTTAGCTTATTTGTAATGACGATAATGGGAATATAGTAATACTGTGAATCTTTCTTTTAAAAGGGAATATGTTGTAGTTTTCATGAGATGAATGAAGCAAGTTTTTATTTTTATAGATATCTTACTCTGCATTTTGTTGGATTTCTCTACGTTGATCATGGAAAACAGTTCACAAGTCGAGTGCAAATGAGCGAGGATGAGTTGATACTACACTTCTTTCAGTTCGACGGTAATTTCACAAGCTAAATTCTATGGTTTCAATTGTTCTGCTTGGTCTCAAGATGAAAATCTTTTTTTAAGATTCATCTTCAATTTGCAATATTTTTCGTCTGTAAAAGTATTGAAATTTCCTTGAGTTCCAATAGTTCATCCTCTACTGATCTTTTGAACTACTTGGAGAAAATGCCAAAGCTACTGCATTGTAGGTCATAAATTCGAATCATCGTAACAGTCTTTTTGCAAATCGTAAGGAGCCTGGTGCACCAGGGTTGCCTTTTTTGGTAATCGTGGGCGTCCAGACCAGTTTGTGCACACCTCGACTAATCCCGTGGGTCCTGAAGATAACAGCCAGGAAAATCCACAGTGACCCTTGAGAATCCTTTGTAGTTTAGCCTTTGTTTGCAGGATTTCCCTTCTACTATTGTTCATCTTGTATATTTTTTTCCAACTAGTGTACTTTTTATGCAAAAAGGGATCTTCAAATGGATACTTGTTTTTTTTTTTGGCAGAAGCAGGCAAAGGGGGGATAAATCTACGGGATGTGCGCAGAATAGCAGCTTCACATGATTTTATGTGGACGGATGAAGAGATGGAGAATATGATTCGGTTCTTTGATAGTGACGGGGATGGGAAGGTTAGCACACCATCTGAAAGTTGTTTGAATTCTTATGAAGTCGAGATCTTTCCTATTTTAGAAACATGTTGGTTCTTGGTTTTGTTCTCGCTGATAAAACAAACCAAACAAGCCCAGTATATCCCACCCGGAAATGGTTTTTTTTTTTTTTTTGGAGGGGGTGATGTGTATGAAAACCAAGACTATAGTAGTTGTTTTCGTGACAACTTTCGGTTAGTGAAAAGGAGAAAAACAGTTAAAAATTGAAAAGCTAGATAAGAGTAAACAATAGCAGTAAAACTAGAAGTTCAGGTTTTGTCTTCCATTGATGTCTCGTGTATCTGTCTGCTTGGCAGTTAAGCCTCGAGGATTTCACTAAGATTGTTGATCGATGCAACATGAGACAAGGGTCTGAAAATGCAGGACGGGCTTCACCAGCATCATGAGTGAATGAGGTAATACAAAATTCGTGGTTTTGGATTTGTGAATTGGATCAAGAATTGGTTCGTATTATTTTTATTTTCAAGTGTCTTTTCTTTTCCAATCATGCAGTTACGTATTTAGCATGAAACCATCAAAACCTCGGGTCATGTTGCAATGAAGGTCTCATAGATGGTCTCTTCGTTTCGACAATCAACATAGGATAAATGAAGATCTGATGGTAAGTTATGTTTTTCGGACGGAGGTCACATATGCATACAGTCTCATTCTCAGATCCCACTTCGGATGAAATATATTGAGTTCGTTTGGTTTGGTTTGATTTGGTTTGTAGATCTAAATTCTTGTAGTGTTTGGGATCTCAAAATATTGTTAATGTGTAAATATAGGACGACTATTATGGGGAAGGTTTTGTTGATATATTATTAGTGGAAGCAACAAACAAAGCATTAATCAATTAACAAGTCTTAAGAGTAAGTAAGGTGGTGTTTGTTTTTAAAAAAAAAACTCTTATTTTACGACTTATGTCTAATTTGGTTAGACATAAGACAATTCAGACCGTTTGTTTTTTCTTTTCTTTTCAGAGTCTCTTATCCCTTATTGCCTTGCTCCACGAAATTGGTCATTGATCCCTACTCCGTCATTCGATCGACTTCACCCTCTCAATCAATCTCCTCACCATTTAAATTGATCGACTTCACTCTCCGAATCAATATGTGCTTCATCAATCGACCGACTTCACCATCTCAATTGATATTTGTTTCATCAATAAGCTAAAGAATAGTTAAGATATGAGAGGAGGAGAATTAATAACCAAGGGCATGTTCATCCTACTCGATATTGCCCCTGTGAGTTGTTTAGATTTCAATCTCGATTTTAGAATAATATGTCTGTTTGACAAAGAAATCTTGATGTGAGTTTCTCTGGTTCATAATTAAAACTGAAATGATGAATATATGCTCGAGTGAGAGAGAGAAAGATGGAGAGAAAGAAAGAGGGGAAAAAGAGAGAAAATAAATATAAATAAAATTTGGGTGTTTGATATGATCATATATATATATATATATAGAGAGAGAGAGAGAGAGAGAGGGGTTAAAATACAACCTTTGACATTCTTACACCTAATACAACGACCATCTCTTCCATCCAATTTTTAATTTAAGGTCAAGATGCATTTGATGACAAAGTTGTAATAAAATAGATATATTTATACACGCGCCTGATTCTTTGAGGGCAATGAAGGACAAAATTGTAAGGGAAAATCAATCTATTCTAAGTAATGATACTATGAAATTAAGAATGCGATAATCACTCTAAATCATATGCTAACACCGTGATTCAATGAAAGAAATCGATTCTTGGTAGGAAGATATGGCAGACGAACTTCATCATGATATTCATTACAGCAAATCGAGGTAAGAAACTTCGTTGAATGCAATTAGTATAATGTTTTGATATAACCTTATGGTGCGTTATCTATATGAATCAGTAAGGAAAAGAAGTGAGCGAATAATGATAAAGAATTCATTCTCTAAGTTCAAGAACACCGCTAACAATCCAGTTGTTCTTGACGAAGAAGAAGAGCCTGTTACAATGAACCAGAAGCATGTCAAAATGCTCAACTAAGCCTTCCACTACATGAAGAAACGGATTCAACAAATGTCAAAAGTTAGTGAAGGTTTATTATCACCCATAGTGTTCATCACCCCAATTTCTTGACCTAACAAATCTTTATACCAATACAACTAAATAGTGACTAATGAAACTTCCTGATTTGAGAACCTGGTTTCACTGTATTTGCTATATGTCAGTTCTCTTACTACTGCTTATGAGATTGTTTCACTAAATTTTTATATCATTTGATTAGCTTGGTTAAAACGTGTTATGAAAATGTTCAAGTGTGCAATTACACAAACCAGTCGTAATTTAATTGAATTTGGTTAACACATATCAATGAAATTTAGCAACACAATGAAACTAGATGCATTGTTATTTTGACTATATGGTAGGATGGTTTGTATAAAACTGTGTAATTGTGTTGTTTGTTCTCACATATAAAACATTGATATACATTAACTGTAGCTTTGAGGATCCTTGTATACAACTGTTAATTAGGTTTCATAAACAGGTATTTTACATGCTGTTTTATATGCACTGTAACAACCTGTTAATGAACCAAAATGCAATGTAACATGCTGTTTTATATGGTGAATCAAGTTTCCGTATGTGCTGTTTTATATGCACTGTAACATGCTGTTAATGAACCTAAATACACTGTAACATTGTCATATGGTGAAAGACAAGTAAAAAACATGTAAATGAACTACTCAACCACCTACTTCCTCCATAATGAGAAATTTGTTACCTGAGGAACAATTCGTTCAACAATGTTGTCACTAGCAATATTAGAGGCTGCACAAGCAAGAATCTTTGATCCACACTTCACTTCTTGAAGGATAATTTCCACCACAATTGTTGTCTTTCCAGTTCCAGGAGGTCCATTCACCAAGAATAGGTCTTTTGATGATAGGGCTTTTCTAATGACATCTTTCTTGGAGAAAAAAGAGATAATGCTATTTAGTCTGTGTAAACAGGTGGACTATGAAACCACCAATCAAAAAAATTAAACATGTGGACACATCTATTAAATAACATGCAACTGTAACTGCAGGTTTTGAGTTGCATGAGTTCCAAATCATGTGTCTAGTGCATATAGGTAGCTAACAGACCAGACCAAACCAAACTCGACAGTATGGTCTAGAGGTGGGATGTGTGCATATCTGTCCTCTATCCCACATGTGCCTAGCAAATTGACTGAGCAAAGATAGCACTTGTGCTGACATTTCCCGGCTACCAGTCTTCATTATTTAACAGAGGATCTGGTAATAGCACTTAGGCAAAATGTAACGAAGTTTATCATCCTCTTCACCATTATCCTTACATAAATTGGTACATGCTCCTATGAACTTGTCACATATTACATGTTGTTTATATGGTGAATCAAATCTATTTACATGTTGTCCATAATGGTGAATCTTCTTTCATGTGCTTGCTTTCAGTATTTACATGTTGTCCATAATGACACAGGTTTCATAAACATTCATTAAAATGATGTTTATATATTAACGAAACAGGCTTCATAATGGTTTTATTAAACTGTTCCATAAACAGGTTTCCTAGACAAGTTTCATTAACATATATAATGGTGAATCTTGTTTACCTGTTGTTTATATGGTGAATCAAAACTGTTTAAATGCTGTTTATAATGGTAAATCTTTTTTACGTACTGTTTCATAATGGTGAATATTGTTTACATGTTTATATGGTGAATCAAAACTATTTACATGCTGTCCATAATGCAGTGAACCCAGATGCAGCTCAACCTATTGAACTAATCGTTCCAGTCCAAAAAGAAGTGGATTCAACAATGTGCAAAGGGTTTGAAAAAAATGAACCTTTATTTTAGTAATAGCTCATATGTGGATCATAATGGAAATACTTCTGGTTCCATTATGTAATTATAGGTTACAATGCATACTCTTAGAGGTTTTGGTACATGCTCCTATGAACTTCACATATTATTTGTCCTTTGCAGTGAACCCATATGCAAATCGTTCCAGTCCAGAAAGAAGTGGATTCAACATATGCAAAGGGTTTGTAAAAAATGAACTTTTGTTTTAGTAATAGCTCATATGTAATTACAGGTTACAATGCACACTCTTAGGGGTTTTGGTACATGCTCCTACGAACTACACATGTTTTCTTGCAAACTGCAGTGAACCCAGATGCAGTGCAACCTGTTGAAATAATCGTTCCAATCCAAGAAGAATTGGATTCAACATATGTAGAGGGTTAGTAAAATTGAACCTTAATCATAGTAATAACTCATATGTGGATAAATATGGAAGTACTTCTGGTTCCCTTATTTAATTAATGGTTAAAACCACACTCTTAGTGGTTTATGGTGAATGCTCCTATGAATTGAACATCATTCTTGTCATTTTGCAGTCAACCAAGATGAAGTGGAACCTGTTGAACTATTAATTCCAGTCCAAGAAGAAGTAGAGTCAACATATGCCAAGGGTTAGTAAAGAATGAACCTTTATTCGTACCGTAATGATAGATCAGTGACACTTGCTGCATTATGATATGGTTGCATTAATGAACGTAAATGTTATTTCAATCAAATGACAGTAATGAAGATGTACTTGGCGATAATCAGAGGTTAAACGACGACATTTATCTGTCAGTTACACCAAGATGTAAAAGAGCTAAAATAGATATGGATACAGTTAGTAGTGTTGCCATGAATTAAGACGGTAGATCTGAACATCTATTTGGAATTGGTAAGTTAAAAGTAAAACTGATCGACATGTCAATTAATCTTTACAAATCGGTGTATATGAGTACACTTAAACCGACCTTACTTTGTTTGTACTTGTAGATTCAAGAGTTTCAAAGCATACAACTATAAAACAAATAAGACAACGTTTAAGAAACAACAATGAAGGTAACTTACGTTGTAATCTTTTAACTTCATGCCACTTTATGATATGCATGTTATAGTGATCTAACTTATTGTGACAGCAACGTAGTAGCGATGAACCATGAAAAAAGTCCTTCGATGTGTACAAGAAGGAAACAACGACAACTTGAGGCGACATGACATCCCGTTTGCATTAAGGGTAAAGAAACTGAAGGTAGAGATGAAAATGCATTATCTAAAAGAGGTGATATTTGTTTCATTTTTAGAAAATACAACTACCCCTAACATATGAATTGCGACACTAACATTGTTATTGTCTGATTTATAACGTTTTCCAAAGGCCAAATACGGAAGACGAGTATAGCATTAGATGAAACAAAAGCTGGGAAGAAAGATGAACTCAAAAAAATAAGGAAAGGGTGCATGAATCATATTCAAGTGATGGAAATAAATGCGGGTTAGAAAACTTGAGAACAAGAACGTCGCCACGAACACTGTATCAAACAATCGTTGGATTGAACGACGACCGGAAAAAGGTGGGGAGACAAATGGGGTTAGGCTCTTTATTAGAAATGACCATTAACGGAGTGCCATCAAAGCTCGGTTTCTATGTTGCCGACATTCTGGATGTTAAGAAGATGGAGCTGAAGGTTATGAATGGTGTAATACCAATCACGGTTGAATCAATCCATAATTTGTTGGGTTTGCAAATGGGAGGGATTGATTTACTTGAGATGGATGAACTCGATGCTTCAAAGAACATGGCAACTACATGGAGGAAACAGTTTGAGAAAAAAAAGATGCGGCCAAAAGACATAATGAAACTGATACATAGTTCAGGAGATTCAGGGTTCAAATTCAAACTCAATTTCTTGTAATATTTGTAAATCTAATGATTGAATGCAACAGGATGGGGTGCTGCAATTTCG